ATCCTAAGCTCTTAATGGTCGCACCAATTGCATGAACACTACACAAAGTCATGCAAGTCCACTTTCCAACCAATACCATGGTTTGGAAGCTAGATAATGCACTCAAATGCTCTGGAGTTCACCAAAAGTCAAAGGACAAGAAGGTTGGGACTAAAAAGCTCATAAAATGACCTAATACGAGATCTAAAGATATAGTGAACAAGGTTGAGACTTTATACCTCCTCAAGGTCACAAATGAGATATAGATGCTAAATCCAAGTCAAAGCTAATCTTCCAATCCACAAGATGGATTCCTTTTTCTTCCAAGATTCACAAAATGGGTTCAACTCTCAAAACACAGACCAAAGAGGCTAAGGTTTGGGTGAGGTCATTCTCAGATGATGGAGGCTACCAAATGAGGCAAACCTATAAGTTAGTGCATTTAAATAGGGCACCGATTCCAGAATCTAGGGTTTTGAACCCTAGCTGTTGTCACGTCGTGGCCAAGAGCGTGCCACATCGTGCAGGCTCACAAATGAATGTTTTCTGGAACCAGGTTGCCACGTCGTGATCATTCCATCACCATGTTTTGACATCGAGGTTTTTTCTTACTTTTGTCATTAAATTTATAATTTTGTTGCAATGTCAACCAATTAACTGATTCAGAAGATGTTATTGTGGTTTAGAATCCTAATTTGTACAACAAATAAATGAATGTCGATCCAATGGTTCAAACTCACTTACAAGTCAGCTGAAAGGGTATATTCACCCTTTCAAGAGATGTTATTGTGGTTTAGAAGCCTAATTTGTACAACAAGTATATGAAGACCCCTAAAAGGTTGATCTAAGACCCCTACAAGGTTGATTGGTACAACAAATAAATGAATACCCCTACAAGGTTGATTGGTACAACAAATAAATGAATACATCTACAAGGTTGATTTATTTGTAAGGTTGTTTTATTTATAAAACAAATAAATGAAGACCCCTATAAATGAAGATCCTTACAAACTCACTTCTAAACCAATTGACTGGTTACCATCAATCTAGCAGGTTACCAAATAAATGACATGCAAATATTCTGATGTGGAAGCCACATAAGATCTTATGTGGTAGGATTGAGTTTCAAATATATGGTTTGCATCGAACCTAATTTCACATATCTTTTGTAGTTGCTCCAATGGTCCAAATTCACTTACAAGTCAGTGAAAAGGGTGTACTCACCCTTTTAAGTGACACTTTTTATTATAATGTTTAATGTTCAGTTCTCGTTAGAGTATTTCTTTACAAATGGCGCTGATGGTTAATCTAGTGGCTTAAACATACTTAAAAGTCAGTGAAAGAGGCGTACTCACCCTTTCAAGAGATGCTATTGTGGTTTAGAAGTTCTATTTGCACAACAAGTAAATGAAGACCCCTACAAGGTTGATCCAGGAGATGCTTAGTGTAACGCCCAGATCCCTGGTATGCATTATTTATTTATTTACTCATTTTTACAAGGCAACTCGATGAGTTGGTGGTCCCAAATCGTCGAGTAGAGATCGAGACGTGGGTTTTGATGTCTACTCACCGAGTTGGAAGCCCCGACTCGACGAGTAGGACTGCCAGAAGGAAACCCTAATTTTAAGGGTTTGGCCACCTATTTAAGGAACATAACACCCCTTGTGGCCTCCCTTATCGTCCTCCATTGTCCAGAAAACCCTAATCAGTGAGCTTGAGCTTTGTGTGAGTGTGTGAACCATTTTTGAGTGTTTAGTGTGATTTGAAGCTTGTGAGAAGAACAAGAAGCTAAAGGACTCCAAGAGAAGGTTGTAGATCCAGGAGCAACATCACTTTTCCTTCACTTTCTGGTAATCAATTCTATACCTTGACCATTTGTTTTCTAGATCTTCTTATGGGGTAGTTTAGGGCTTTTTAAGTGCATTTTGGAACCTTTCATGGACGCAAGCATGATTTGGTGTATCAACTACAAATCTAGTCTTTGAGGGACTCCATGGCATAAAGGTGCCAACTTTATGGCCATGGGAGTCCTATGCACCTTATGAGACACCTTTTTTGACCTTGTAAGCTAAAAACCCCATGATATAAACAACATATAATACTAGTTAGGAGTTTACCTCTTTATGTAGCTTGTAGAACCTTTTGTATTTTGGCCTTCAAGAACTTAGCACCAATAGTGTGGATGCCTCAAATGGAATCACAACACATCATGGACAAAGAATGACATTTTTTAGAGAGAATCTTCATACACCATGTGTTTATGATCCATGGTTCATGTGGCCCAACTCTTTATGTATCCATACATAAACTTAGTCCAACATGGATCAAAGCCCAACATATAAATATAACTAATTTACACAATTAGTCTCCATTGATTTAATTAGTCTCTTTTGATCACTAAATTAATTCCAAACTAATTCTTGATCAATACTAATTAAATCACATGATTTCATATTAATATATTAGAACTTATAATATATTAATAAACCATAAATAACCTCTTCTCAAAAGTCCATCCTAAAAAATTGTCCTGATGATATGCAACCCAAATGTCCATGCTACTCTCGGGTCAAGTACATACCAATTATAGTTATGGGCTTAGACACCTAATGCAACAGATATACGCATGATTGATAAATTTAGTTATGATTGTTGTCTGTGTGATGCTTGTATGTATGTTTAGTAGCCGAGTGTGGGCGGGGCCTGTATCTCGTAGCAGCTAAGTGTGGGCGGGGCCCATATCTCATAGTAGCCGAGTGTGGGTGGGGCCCGTATCTCATAGTAGCTGAGTGTGGGCGGGGCCCGTATCTCAGAGTTAACGGAGTGTGGGCGGGGCTCGTATCTCCATGAGTGTGGGCGGGGCCTGTATCTCGTAGTTGCATGTTACATGTGTATGGTATGTGGTAGTTTGGGGAGACTCACTAAGCTTCGTGCTTACATTTTTCAGTTTTGGTTTCAGGCACTTCCACTAGCAAGGGGAAGGGCTTGGGGTGATCGCATGCCACACACCACAGTTTCAGCCTGGTATGTTTAGACGCTGATATTTTCTCACATGTTTTTGATACAATATTTGACATGATGTTTTGAGATACATGATTCCTGATTTTTCTTTATGATGATGGATGATTTATGGTTTTGTTATAAGTTTTAAAACGAAATGTTTTGTCTGTATTTTTGGGATATTTCACTTAGTGAGTTTGAACCACTAAATCGACCTTGTAGGGGTCTTCATTTACTTGTTGTACAAATCGAACTTCTAAACCACAATAACATCTCTTAAAAGGGTGATTATTCTCTTTTCGCCGACCTGTAAGTGATTTTGAACCATTAGACTGATCTTTATTTATTTGTTATACGAATCGAGCTTCTAAACCACACTAACGTCTCCTGAATCGGTCAATTGGTTGACATTGCATAAACTTATAAATGTAAAGACATAATTGTGAAAAAAAATCGGTGTCAAAATTGAAATTTTGTAGTAATATAGTGACTTTCTTGCCATTTGAAACTCGATGTCAAAATTAGAATTTTGATAAACTTAATGACTTTATTGCAATTCAGGAAAAGTGATTACCGGGAGAACCGATCATTTGTTGATATTGCAACAAAATTGTAAATATATTGACATAATTGAGAAAAAAAATTTTGGTGTCAAAAACGAAATTTGGTGGTAATATAGTGAGTTTTTTATTTTATTTTTGTTTTTGTTTTTGTTTTTGTTTTTGTTTTTTTTTTGTTTTTTGTTTTTTGTTTTTTGTTTTTTGTTTTTTTTTTGCATTTCCCTATTTTTGTATGTATATTCTTATTTTCATTTTTTTTAAATTTGTTTACATGTTCGATTTTATGTATGTAGATTGTAAAAACTAAAAAAAATTCTTTTAAATACTCATTTTTTCAAACCAATATGCATTTTTATTTATAATTATTTGTAATCCTACTTTAATTATGTCTTGTTAATGTGGGTTTTCAAAGTACACTGTTATAATTGTTTTTTGTTTGTGGTTGTGTGTAACTATATGTGTTGCATATGATTATATCTCTATGTACATGTGATTTTGTCGTGTGTGTATAGTTGTGTATACGTGTGAGGAACACAAAATACATTCTCTCTCTCTCTCTCTCTCTCTCTCTCTCTCTCTCTCTCTCTCTCTCTCTCTCTCTCTCTCTCTCTCTCTCCAACACAATCAATTACTTAAAAAAATATTGCTTAAACTCTCGTTGCAACGCTTGTAATTAAAACCCTCATTATACTAATAGTTACATTTCAATAAATAAAAATAAAAAGGAAAAAACATGTTATGACTTAATCGAACCGACCAATTTGATTTGTGTCAAAGTTTACATGTTTGATCGGTTTCTTATATGAACCATCTAAATTGTGACAATTTGTTATAATAAATAGTCATATATTTTAAAAATAATAGATATAATTAATGATATATTTGAAATATTTTTGAAAAATGTTCATAAATTTATAAAAAACCATTTCAAAATAACTTTTCAAAAGTTATTTTATAAGGCCAATCGGTATACCATCGACAAACCCAACCGTGGTCTACGTGGCCACGGAAAACGGTTGTGCACACCAGCCCGACTGTTCGTGGTCACCCGTTTTCGTGGTGATTTGTGGTGGGGAGGACGAAGGGCAACGCCAATCATATTCCTCTTCTCTCTCAATCTTCTCATGTCTCTCTCTTCTTTCTCTCTTTTCATTTTCAGTGAAGAGTATTTAGGTGGTGGTGTGGTGGTTACTCAAAGGGTTGATTTGGAAGCTCTCCACGAACGAACGTTATCATGAAAAGTATAGCAGATGGTCTAAGATAATAAACTAAAATAAATTATTTTTATAATTTTACAATAACTTATACAATAAACTAGCTGCTAGTTTATTTTATTCCAAAGGCCTAAAGAATACACAAGAAAGGTTTGGAAATGCAAGGACTGTTAAAAATAGTGTAGAAAGTAAAGGGGTTCAAATAGTTAACTTCTAAAAGTTCTAGACGGCTTCTTTACCTTGTTCTTGTGCTTGCTTTGTGAACTTCTTGCGTACAAGAGAGAGAGGGAGTAGAAGAAGAAGAAGCATTCTTTTATTCCTTCTTTAAGATAAAGAAAACCCAAAATTAAGAGTAGATTAACCTTCAATAATCCAACCAACTTATACACCAATGTCTTCTGGGTCTTGAAATTATTCCCAATTAGCGACACTTGATTCTTTCTCTCTCTATATCGCATTCGATCGGATCTGAAAAAGCTGCTAAAGTTCAGTTCTGTACAGCTATGAATCTTTAATCAGGTATGTTTTCACGTTAACAAAATGTGAGTTTTGAAATAACGATCCAAAATCCTAATTCGGCGTTTGGGTTTATAAATTTGTTGCGCATTTTTCTGTTCTGGGTTATTCATTGTTAGTTTTGTTCATATATTTACGAATGGCGTTGTCCATTGACCAATTTGTTGGATTTATGAACTTCGTTGATTGAATGATTATGTTTTCCCCCATCTTGATAATTTATGGGTTTAACCTAGAAATGTCAAATAGATTGATTTCATGAAATTTTTGGTAATATTTGGTTAACAATAGAGATATCAAATAGATTGATTTCAAGAACTTTTCGGCAGTGTGTGTTAACTTTAGAAATCTCGCATCATTCCTAATCGGTTAATAGATTCAAATTCATGAAGTATCCATGATCAAGAAAACCTAAATTAATCAATTTTGTGATGTATAAAAATCAATTTTGTCATTCAATAGATTGATTTCAAGAAACTTTCCTCTGTTTTAGCGATTAATTGAAGTTAATCGGATTACTGGCAGATCAATTTGATTATTTGAATGGATTCACTTATTGATGGAGTCGGTTCTTTGTCAACTAGCCATACCTCCGCCACGTTATTAGGGTTCAACCCACCCGGCAAAACCCGCCCACCACATCACCCAAAATCCGATACCAGTTCAAATCGATCTCATAAAGCCTCCAATGACCACAAAGGAAAATCCTATATTGTGGGACCCAACACAATCCTTGATCAAACCGCAAAAGAATACTTCCACAAACAAATTTCAGCACTCGAAGCCAAGGCCGGAATCAAGCATTCCGATTCCGACCCCGAGACCATTGACTCAATTACATTCTGCCCGAGCCCACAAAGTAGTTTATACTCCCTTACAAACTTCACCGATACCAAACAAAGCTTTACAAACACAGAAGTCAGCGAATCGGTCAAAAGTGGTGAAATTGGGATTCCGAGTGTTTATCGGGGCAGCACGGGCAGCGATGTAAGTGAGGAGAGCAGTTCGGGCAGTTTCACGAGTGCGGTTTATAAACCACACAAGCAAAATGACTCGAGATGGGAAGCGATTCAAGTCGTGAGGTCGATGAATAATGACACGGGTATTTTGGAAATGAAACATTTTAGGCATTTGAAGAGATTGGGGTGTGGAGATATTGGGAGTGTTTATCTTTCGGAATTGATTGGGACACGGAGTTATTTTGCCATGAAAGTTATGGATAAAGCGGCTCTTGCGAGCCGGAATAAGCTATTGAGGGCGCAAACGGAAAGAGAGATTTTGCAGTCGTTGGATCACCCGTTTCTTCCTACTTTGTATAGTCATTTTGATACCGAGAAATTGTCGTGCTTGGTGATGGAGTATTGCCCCGGTGGAGATTTGCACGCGCTTAGACAAAAACAACCCGGGAAACATTTCTCCGAACATGCGGCGCGGTTGGTTTTTTTCTTAATTTTTTATTTGAATTTATTATAAATTATCGTTTCGATCATGTGACGCTAAAATTCCGTGAGTTTTCTTAGGTTGTGTTTGTTACACTCGACTGGACAAGCTTTCCAAGGCTATTTTCGATAGTTAGGATGAGAAGTGTATTTACGTCTTTTGCACAAACAAAAGATCAAGAATGGGTCCTTGTCCCATCTTTTTGGTTGAGACAAAAAATTGCAATTTTTGTCCCATTGACATCGGTTCGGTCCCAGTCCAATGCATGTCAAACCTAGTAGAAGACTGTCTTGTTTTTTCTTGTTAACAAACGGGGCTAGGCCCCGTTTGTACGTAGGACGGTACATGACAAGTTGTACAGTGTCTGACATGCATTTGACTAGGATTGAACGGATGTCAACATGACAAAAAAATGCAATTTTTTGTCTCACCAAAAAAGGTGGGATAGGGACCCGTTCTTGATCTTTTGTTTGTGCAAAAGACGTAAATGCCTTTCTCATCCTGATTATCGAAAATAGCCTTGGAAAGCTTGTACAGTGGAGTGTAACAAACGCAACCTAAGAAAACTAACGGATTTTTAGTGTCACGTCGATAAAACAATAACTTATACCAAAGCTTTTCATTAAAACTTCATATAAAGTTTGAAATCTGTGCTAATGTCGAACCATTTTTTGTAGGTTTTACGTAGCGGAAGTTCTCCTAGCTATGGAGTACCTACACATGCTCGGGATCATCTACCGAGACCTCAAACCGGAAAACGTTTTAGTTCGTGAAGACGGTCACATAATGCTTTCCGACTTCGATCTCTCTTTACGATGCGCCGTGAACCCAAAACTCGTCCGATCGGCTAACCCAACCATGGACCCCAAGAACTCCAACTACTGCATCCAACCATCTTGCGCTGTTCAACCCGCGTGCATCCAACCCTCATGTTTCGTCCCCCGGTTCATGTCCAAATCCAAAAAAGACAAAAAGCCCAAACCCAAATCCAAACCCAAAACCGAAATCTACAATCAAGTCTCACCACTCCCCGAGCTCATTGCGGAGCCCACAAGCGCCCGCTCCATGTCATTCGTGGGGACCCACGAATACTTAGCCCCCGAAATCATTAAAGGCGAAGGACACGGAAGCGCGGTTGACTGGTGGACTTTTGGGATTTTTTTGTATGAACTTTTGTATGGAAAAACACCGTTTAAAGGGAACGGAAACCGGGCTACATTATTTAATGTAGTGGGGCAACCGTTGAGGTTTCCGGATACTCCAGGGGTTAGTTTTGCAGCTAGGGATTTGATCAGGGGGTTATTGGTAAAAGAGCCGCAGCATAGATTGGCTTATAGAAGAGGGGCAACTGAGATTAAACAACATCCGTTTTTTCCAAGTGTGAATTGGGCTTTGATCCGGTGTGCTACGCCGCCGGATGTTCCTGGGCCGTCGATGGAAAATGGAGGGGTGGATGTGAAGCCTTCGGAGAATTACTTAGAAATTGATTTCTTTTGAATGGGTTTAATGGATTGTATGATGGAATTTGTTGTTTTTATTGGTTATGTTTATTGTGGTGTAATTCGCTGCAAAATGCAGATTTGTTCGTAATTGTATTTTTAGTTGGAATAATTTGTTAACGGAAAGGGAGGTATATTATTGGGAAACATGCTGAAGTGTAATCGATTGCCACATCAAAATAATTATCTTTTAATCCCTACAATATATGGAAGTATTAGTATACAACGTTTATGGAATATAATTTAAAACATTAAAAGTTTTCTCCACTAAACAGTTCAATAAGTATTATTTGTTGAATATTAACTAGACATTTTAGTGCGTCCAACCATTTTATTAAATTATATATTCCAGATGCTTATGGTAAATGTTAACGTGATAGAAAAGGTGTATGTTATAATAATATTTTATCGTTTATACCATTATTATAGATTTTATTCCTATTGTTTTACATTTGTTTTCCACTAAAAGTTGGTTTTACTCTAAAATGATTCGAATACATGTCATTCTTTGGGTGCAATATTCAGAAGATAAGCTAACAAGAGCAAAGGATTTGGGCTTGAATGCAATTCAAACTTATGTTCCAAGGAATGTGCATGAAGCAAAAGAGGATCAATTGGATTTCAATGCTATAGCGGATATATTTTCACTAGGTGTGAGACTCATGTTATACATTGATTTAAAAAAATTAAATATCAAAGTGTAAATATTCAGTATTTTTTTAAAAAATAAGTTTCGAAATAAATACAAATGAAATGATAAATAAGTAACTAAACCTATATTAAGAAAAAAACTATTGACATATAACTATTAATATTAATAATACATTTTCAAATAATTATATTTATATAGTAATATGATGCTATAAAAGTGCACCGAATTTTCCCATTTGCTCCTTATTACAAAAAATCTAACTAGGAATAACATTGTTACAAATTGGAAATGACTTCATCTACACCGATTTAAAAAAAAATAAAAATAAGTTATTTACATAATGTCAAATGACTGAACTCAAAGAGTTAAAAGCAATAATAACAACTTACTATCATAACAACTTGCACTTAAAGTATGATTATTTAATATTTGTTGCGTTTAGCACAAAGAAATGTTTACACATAAAAATTCATAATATTGCTTTAATGAACAGAATATGCTTTAATGCTTTAAGTAGGATGCAATAATGCATTGTGGTGAGAAATCTACGTAGTGCTAAGTGCTAACTATTAAAACAGGGCAAACATGTAGCTTATATGAATCACATGCATATAAGTATATTTGTTTTCAACATCAACATTGTAAACAAGAAATAAGGGTTTTCAAAAATAAGTTTAATATTATGATTTTTACATATGCTTTTCCTGTACTTTTCTTTTATTCCCAAAATATCCTCTTCCTTTCCATTCTCCGGATTATTCGTTTCTTCTATTTACATAACTACACTAAAATTTTTTGGACAAATGTGCCCTTGAAAACCAAACTTTTCCACAATCAAACCCAAAGTATTCCAATAAACAAATGTTGTATCAGGTTTCCATGGTTAATCTCCACAAAAACATTCACTTCTGTCACCAACATACTTTATCCCTCTAGCCACAGGTTTACGTTCATGTTAAGCAGTGATAAATGACTAATTGTTACATGAACAAATGACAAATTTGCCATTTTTGCTCCTTCACGTTAAACAACATATAACTGATTACATAAGAAAAAATTAAAAAAAAAAATCATTGCACTTTTATGGTATCCCATTTATAGCATCGTACTTTCAAGGGGCTAAAGCTGAAAATTTTACAATTATAAATAGGATGCGATTAATCAAAAAAGGCATTATAAATGACGTAAAAGGGAGCAAAAAAAGCATTTTACAATTATAAATACAATTGGCGCTTTTTTTTTTTTTTAATGTCGAAGGAGAGAAAAATGAATAGCACCGGTGCTTCTTTTGTTCTCTGTCATTGTATGAGTTCAACCGATTAGCATTGTAGCGAGTAAATTCTATTTTTTTCTGTGCCACTGAAACGACATGATGTCTACTCCTTTGTATTGACAATTAGTTTATCTGCATATTAATAAATAGTAAAGCACATTGTTAATGTTTTAAGTCTTTATATTAGGGGTCATTAAGAGAAAGTACATAAGAAACGTGTTGTGAGCAAACATTCTCATGAAAACTCCATTTGAAGTGTTGACCTAAATGCAATTTCTTGTCACCTAGGTCACCCCATGTTAAGAACAACAATTCGATAAAAATAATAATAAAACAATAATGCTTACTTGTGAAACTCATGGCATCCAAATATCTAGTTTGAGATGTTTGGTGCTAAAAGTAAATTACAGAGAAAGCCATCATCATGAGAGCATCATAATTAAAGAAGAATATTAAACTAAAAGATCAATACAAAACAAATGAGACAACCACCTTTGACCTCTTACATTCACCCTCCATGGTGTAGGTTTTTTCGGTTCCTTTTTGTCCGTAAGAAAAAATAGTACAATTAAATCCTTCTAAAACTTCATTTGCGACGGGAGCAATGGCTTGTTCATATAAATCTTTTTGATGAGAGAAAAACCTGCATAAAGAAAGATAATAGTTGTTGATTGCTAAACATAACACTAAGGTTTTATTAAATCTCAATATTAACACATAACACCTATCAGATACATATATTTATACATATTTTATTTATTAGTCAGTTGTAAATATAGATAGTTTTAGTCTTCCTTATTTGTTGTAACAGATCCTAATCTATCGGATATCCCTGTATATGTTCTCGTATTTGCTTCAATGAAAACAACTTGAAACCATTCTCTTATATGGTATCATCCAGGAACCCTATTTTCCCCTAAAATCTTTCTGTCGCTTTTCTCCAACCATGTCTACCGAAGGCAACTCTCATTCCTCGGTTATTCATACTCTCCCCTCACTACTCCATCTCTTACCCTAGTTCAATTTCCATCATCCCTCAAACTGTTATCCACAAATTACATGAGCTAGAAGACTCGGATCAAAGCCCTTCTATACGATCTCTACAAAGTTATTGATGGCACTTACCTTGCGCCAAAACCTACTGTCACTACCGATGGCACTTCTACTCCCCACAAAGATTACCCAGTCTGGTTCCGCCAAGATCCCTTGTTGTTGTTCGGTGCTACAGTTGGTACTCTTTCTCCAACTATTGTCCCCCTAATTACTAATGCTCCTTCCTCATTAGAGGCCTGAAAAATCCTCTCCAATATTTATGCTAAACCTTCTCGTGGCCACATCAAACAACTCCCACACCGCCTCAAACAAACCACAAACACCTGATCAGTGATCAGTGAGATCATCACTGAATACATGCAATCCATTAAAACCATAGTGGATGAAATAGGTATTCTGGGAAAACAGATGGATACAGACTACATTACAGATTCTATCTTGACTGGTCTCTACATCCTACAAAACGGTCATTGACTCCATTCATGCCAGGGACACACCCATCTCTTTCCATGAACTCCATGAAAAGCTTATCAATCATGAGCTTTATCTAGCTCAAACTTCCCCTGTCATCACTACCCTTCATCAACCAACCACAACTTTTGCATCAAACAAGCGACCACCTTCAAAACCCTGGAATTACAGAAATTCCAATAATAACCCTCCCCTTCTCCCTACCCCTCAACAGACCACCAATCTCACTACTGCTTCACTAAAGGTCACTCCTTAACCTCCTGTTATGCCTTCAAAAACAGATACCCCCATGTCAGTTTACCCTCATTACCTCGGACCACTTATAGCGCCTCTGCGCAAGCACATGCCATGAACACCACAAACACCTCCAACTCTGATTTTTTTCTTGCTTGATTTACAATTTTCTTAAGATTTTATTTTATATATTCATATTCCATACGTTTAACTTGTAAAAAAATCATTTAAAAGGAGTTTGCGAAATTTAAAAAGAAAAAAATAGAAAATATCTGTTGAGTCCATTTGTGTTGCGTCATGGGCCTTACGTTTTGCATCCGGATTGGGCCTGTCCTTCCGTGATTATCTAGATTAGCTAGTAGGGTTATACTATATATATGCATGCATGTATGCATTATATAAGATTGATTATCACGTTCATAACTTCTGTAACCTTAAACACCTCTACAGCAGCAGTTCTTAATCGAGCTCTTCTGAGGTGTTAAAGTTTTAATCATTCGACACATTCAAAGTCATTCTTGTATTCGTTTTTACATTCTTAATTGTTTGCTTGCTCAGAATCTAACGATCCTAAAAGAACTTAGTTCTAACAATTGGTATCAGAGCAGGAGACTGTGTGATCGATACACATTCCTTCTGTATTCAGAATTCCTTAGGGTTTTCGCTTTTATTGTATAAATAGAAGCCGTCTTCTTCATATCAACGGTAACTCTGTTTTTGATAAAACCCTAATCTCAAGTTTACAGGTTTGATTCTAGCAGCTCACCATGTCTCACGAAGATTCGCAAACAAATCCCATCAACATCTCAAACAGCATTGGATCTACAACCAGGATACCCATTCTCTACACTCAAGACTACGAAGTATGGGCTCATCACTTCGAAGACTACGTGGTTGGATCTGAAGATAATGACTATCTCATCTGGGAAGCTATCACACTTGGGCCGTTTGTTCACTCAGGAACGAACAGTACTGTCAAGTCCCAAAAGGAATATAACAAGCTGGTGGCGGATATAGACAAGATGCCACAGGACGAGAAAGACAAATTGATATGTAATGTGAAGGCCATGAGGATGATCAGATTCGCCTTGCAATCTGACACCTTTCGGTTGGTTGGTTCATGCACGACGGCCAAAGAAATCTGGGATAGGTTGAAAGAACTCTATTCGACCGATGAAGATCTAGAACACTCTATTCAAACCTTGCTGCTGTCAGAATTTGGAGTTTTCGAACAGAAACCTGAGGAGAAGCTCATACAGACTTTCGATCGGTTCAATCATCTCCTAAGTAAGATGATCAAGCATGGAATAGAGAGAAAGTTGATCGAGCAGAAAGTAACTTTCATGAACGGGCTAAGACCAGAATGGATGGCTGTGGTTTCTACTGTGAAAGCGCATGAACAGTTTAAGTCTTACTCGCTAGCGAAACTTGTGGGAATACTTAAGTCCCATGAAAGTGTAGTAACCAAAGAAGCGAAAGTAGTTTCTGGTG